CAAATATGTCCATGTACTGTACAGTAAATGCATTCATTCTTGGTTGGATTTTCACTGGACGGCTACAGTCCAGTCGCTTTCCTCTATTGGCCTGTGTCCTGAATGCTGTATGGTGGCTCTTGAGGTACATTAACGACCACTTTGACTTTTAACAGTCATAAAGTCAGTCAGCCAGGATCACAGGCTTTATGTGCTTTCAGCTTATGCAGCTGGGATTCCAGAAACAAGGTATGTTGGTTCCTGTGTGAGACATTGTACACACATCCTGTGAGGGATGACGACATCCTTATGCAGGACACTCTAAAACTTTTAATGCCGTAAATTCAAGCACAGTTTCCGACTCGGATCCTCAGCATGTTTCCATTCAGCTGCTCAGACCATTTCTCTCTAATTCCAATAGAACAGATGGTTTCACGGCTGTAGTTTTAGTCAAATTTTACATTTGAACAAAAAGTGGCAAGTTCTCTATTAAAGGTTGGTGTTACAGCAGTCTAAGACATTATTATCACCTTCATTCAGCCTGAAGAAATGTTTCAGATGGTAAACAATCGCATTTAATCTGCTGGGGTAAATGTTCATCAGACAGAGAGCGGTACTTATCAAGTCTGCAGCGCAACAATGAAAGATTTAGTAAATTGTGTGTGTGTGTTCACAGCTGAGCCAGTGAAAGTGGAGAGCTCGGCCCCTCTCATTGAGGAGTTTGACAGTGACGCAGGCACAGACAACAAAGACTTGAGGAAGCAGCTCTGTCCTTACGCTGCTGTCGGAGAGTGTCGCTACGGAGTAAACTGTGCTTATCTCCACGGTGACGTGTGTGACATGTGTGGCCTGCAGGTTCTCCACCCCAGTGACAGTTCCCAGCGCTCAGAGCACACCAAGGTGAAGGACTCAGGAGGGCATCAGAGAGAGCATGTTCATTCTAAAACCTGCAACACTGAATGTTGGTTAACTGTCCTTCCTCCAGGCGTGCATTGAAGCTCATGAGAAAGACATGGAGATTTCTTTTGCCATCCAGCGCAGTAAGGACATGATGTGTGGTGTGTGCATGGAGGTTGTGTTCGAGAAGTCCAACCCAAGCGAGCGTCGTTTTGGGATCCTCTCCAATTGCAGCCACTGTTACTGTCTGAAATGCATTCGCAAGTGGAGGAGTGCCAAGCAGTTCGAGAGCAAAATTATCAAGTAAGCAGAATTATTTCTACAGCGTGGAGAGCAGTTACTTCATCCTGCATCTTCCAACACAGTCTATGGGAGAAACGGTGTGAAAGAATGTGTCCGAATTAGGACAAAGATTCATAACTTTGTCCTAATTCAAACAGAACAATAAAAAGTTTCCCATGTGATTGAAAAATTATGTAGTTAATTTTTCATTCACTGTATTTTTTTATTCAGTTAATTTTCAACCTGTCTAAATAGGAATGTTATCATGGAATATGTTCCACTATTTACCAGGTATTGATCTTTTTGAATTTACAGCCTAAATCAGAGGCGCCCAAGGTGGGTCCTGGAGGTCCGGCAGCCTGCATGTTTCCTCTGCCTGGTGGTAGAAACAATCTTCCCACCATGTCCACGTTTTTCTATTGAGCCATCATTTGATCCAGGTGCACTAAACCAGGGAGAGAACTAGAACATGCAGGATGCCATGACCCTAACCAGGACACACTTTGGACACCACTGACCTAATCAAAACTTCTAAACATAAAACATAAAGAGGCCTTTGTCCTCAATCTGGCCATCACAGGTTTGATTCCCAGCCTTGTGACCTTTGCCCCATGTCTTCCCTCTCTCTCTTTACCTTCTTTCCTGTCCAGCACTTTCAGGTGAAGGCAATTAGAGCTAAAAACACCTCCAGCGGTACAGGCAAGAAGTTATATGCTGTTCACACTAGAAACATCGATTTTATATTACTTAGAGTAGACGATCTATTATTCAGTTCAAAACTTAAACTAGCTGGCTACAGCCACAACAATTTTAGAAGTTCCAGAATTAACAAAAAAAAAAATTGGCAACAATTGTTGCCAATTTGGGGTTAAACATGTTTAAGGAGAAGCAGGTGATGACTGAAAAATATTTCAATAATGCAGCTCCTCCAAGTTGTGTTTAAAATTGACCAATGTTAGACTTATAAGTTTTATTGAAGTTGTTGTGATGATAACTATAGGTTATTTAACGAAGCTGTAGTTAAGATGGCTCTGTTGATCTAGACCTCTGATCTCCTCTTTCTTTCGCTAGGTCCTGTCCAGAGTGTCGAATCACATCGAACTTTGTCATCCCGAGTGAGTACTGGGTGGAGGACAAAGAAGACAAGCAGAAGCTAATTCAGAAATACAAGGATGGCATGGGGTACGCCGCCTGCTTCCTACATGAGCACTACTGCTTAGTGGCTGACATCAAATCAAGTTGATAAAATATTTAGATATATTTTTGTTTTTATTCAAACTAAATCCATTTACTTATCTTTTGTCGCTGCTTTCACTGAGAAAGCCTGACCTGTTTCTGTTGTCTGCTGTCTGTAGAAGTAAACCATGTCGGTACTTCGATGAAGGTCGTGGAACTTGTCCTTTTGGCTCAAACTGCTTCTACAAACACGCCTTCCCTGATGGACGTCTAGAGGAAGCTCAGCCGCAGAGAAGACAGACTGGATCCAATAACAGGAACCGGGTAAAACACATTTCCCAAAACCGCTAACATGTCTTGACAGTGAGCAGTTCTGTTCAGTCACCACTGCTAGATAAAACTCCCACTCTGTAGTGGAGCTGGAAAGCAGGAAGCTAGTTGAGTATAGGAAGAGCAGATGAAAGAAAATGAAAAGCGGTTAGTTTCTCTGTGTGTGAGAACTGGCAAACACTTTGTAAGACCCGTTCCAATTCTCAGAACTCGAGGCGGACGCCACTGTGGGACATCTTTGACGAGAGAGAAAGCACCGACTCGTTCGACAACGACGACGAGGATATGGTGACGTTCGAGCTGAGTGAGATGCTTCTAATGCTGCTTGCTGCAGGAACCGACGACGAAGTGACGGATTCAGAGGACGAATGGGACTTGTTTCACGAGGAGCTCGACGATTTCTATGAGATTTACCTATAGCGGCTCCCTCTTAATCCCACCACCCATATACTCTAGACATTAGAATGGACTGTCTTGTGTGAGTGATGGACAGTAGCTTCCCCTCTGTATTGTGGCAGTGCCTTTAAGCAGGCCATGAATAATAAATGAACTTATAAAAAGTAAAAAAAAAAAAAACATCCACCTCCGTGCGCTCGTGCTAAACATTTTATAGACCTCTATCCTTGTGAGTCTTTCTTGCGTGGTTTATTAAAATATAAAATGAGAAAAAGAAGTCAATATAAAATCTAACTAAAGTAACCATTAAGAAATTGCTAAGACATTGTCCAGTTTGTTTGTGGGTTTGACTTGTTTATCATCTATCCAGGTATTTGTACATACTTCTGAGACTCTGCACTTGAACTTACTCAGCACCGTTTACTGTAACTCAGATGGGCATGTTGTTAAGACTTTACATATGGTTGTTGAAGGCCGGGACTTCTTTTCTGTCTGTTTATAAAGCTGCTGATGTTTAATAAATTTACCATAATCACTTCCTGGCCTTTGTTGGGATTTTTTATGGTTAAAATTAATTAATTGAAAAAATAAATAAATATCAGAAGTCAGCGAAAGAAAGGCAGTGTGCTTTCCAAATAAATAAAATTGTTCAAATCAGGCAGCATGGGATAAAGTTCTACTGTTATGTTGATGACACGCAGCTGTACCTATCCATAAACCTTAAATACAGACATTTTTGATGTAAAAACCTGGGCAACTCTAAGCTTTCTACATTTAAATTCTGACGACAAAGAATTTGTTTTTGGACCAGAACTGCTGAAAAAGAACCTGCTTCATCAATCACTTGTTCTGGACAGCAGTGACTCTGCCTCTGATGACAAAACAAATCACTTTGGTGTTATTTTTGTCCAGAATGTCAATTAAATCCCGTCTTCAACAATTCCGGAATATTACAACCCCTGTGTGATACTGGAGACATAAATGCATTACTCCATGCATTTACTACTTCACTAAATATTGACTGAGGAAACTGAAGCCACAAGTGTTGAAATGCTCAATGTATAAAATAATGAAAAGGCACGTTTGATAATATACAATATAAAATACTGCGAAGTAATTAGAAGTAGCAATTGGACTGTGTAACTGAGTAGGATCATTAAAAAAAAACATGTTCCTGTGTTGTGCTTTGAAAGTCTATTTACAATCAATGAAAATAAAAGTGCGAACAACAGAGATGTGCAAATACCGGCACGAAAATCAACACTTCTTCAGTTAGTGGGGAGCAAAGAGGAGGAAGAATCTGTGATGACTGCTGGATGCAGCCGTCTGTCACTGAAGCAGCTCTCCATCTGCTCTGGGTCAAAGGGCAGCAGAGCTGGATTCAGCGTTCATACAATCTAGACCGGATTAAGAAAAGTGTGTCATGGTGATGAACCACTGAGACTTTAAAATACTGTTAGTTTGTAAATCACTGATCGGCTTGGCACCACAACACATTAAAGTCCTATTGTTGTTGTGTCGGTCTTTCAGACCTCTCAGGCCTCCTGGTTCTGGTTCTGTTCTGCATCTAAAATCAGAACCAATCATGGAGAAGCAGCAGTCAGCTTCTATGCACCACAAACCTGGCACAAACTTCCAGAAAACTGAAACGGCTGAAACAGAGTTTAGGTCAAGGCTCAGACCAACCTGTTCAGAGCTTTTAAGATGATAAATGAAACATTGACCAACATATTCGTGGTGTTTTGATGATTTTAATGATGACTCTCATCAAAACATGTTTATTGGTTTCTCCATCATCAATTCTGTTTTATGACTTTATTTTTCAGTTTTTATTATGTAAAGCCCTTTGAACAGACTTGTTGCTGAAATGTGCTTTACAGATAAACTTGACTGATTGATCGATTTCCACATCAAACTTTCACTGCTGACTGTCAAACTGAAGCTGATGGAAATGATGCTTTCAGTCTTTCTGTCCGGGTTGCATTTGAAATGACTGGACCTAATAAAAGCAGAGTCCATTCCCTGAGAGTCCACACCTTTCTTTGCCGTGGCTCCCAAAGAAAACCAGCAGAAGGGCAGAAAGTGGATGAAGGGAGGCGGCAGCACAAATACAATGATCTCTGAATCTGGCGGCGTTCATCAGAACAGCGATCATCCTCCCAGCCCCTCATCCTCCTCCCTCCGCTCTGCAGCCTGCCAGCTGAGCAGCAGCCTGGACACCCGGAGCACCAGCAGCAGCTTCCAGCCTCTGTTCTCCGCCTGCATCATGACATCTGGGGAGTTCCTGCCGAGCGCTCCTCTGCTGGTGCACAAATCCAGGAGGAGCCTGCTCTACAAGTCGCTCTGCTTCCTTCTCCTCTTCTTCCAGGGCGGCGTCCTGGACTTCTACCTCATCCTCTTCACCGACCTGTACTGGTGCTCATGGATCGCCACGGACCTGGTGGTGATCTCTGGCTGGGGGGTTTTCTTCCTGAAGAACGCTCGAAGCCAGAGAGAACGGGCCTGCGGCTTTCACCAGAAGAGCTCCATTTTCGGCTGCAACCTCGGAGAGTTCACGTACGCCTACCTGGCCTGGCTCATCTATGTCATCGCCTGCACCCCGAAAGTCGTGCTCATCCTGGAGACCTCCATCCTGGAGCTGATCGCGCTGAAGGTGCCGTGCGGCGTGACCGGCTTTAAGATCACGGTTCTGCTGTCGGCGCCGCTGCTCTTCTGCCTCATCAACTCCATCGTGGTGGATTTAAACGGCCCGACCCGCCACCACTCCCAGAGCTGCTTCACCAGCACCTGCTTGGACCTGCTGGACTCCTTCACGCTGATGGAGACGCTTCTCAGAGGCGAGCTGCCCTCCGTGTACCTGAAGTACACCGTGATCGCGGTGTACTTCGTGGCCCTGGCGGTCCCGGTGGTCTGGCTCTACGAGCTGACGGCGGCGGAGCTGCGGTGCCGGTGGCTGTGGGCCCGCTTCTCCACCGGGCTGTTGGTCAACGCCCCGCTGCTCGTCGTGCGTTGCTTCCAGGTGTATGTTTACAAGGCGCCGGTGTCGGTGTTCATGTTCAAGAACATCTTCTTGCTGACGTGCCGCCTGCTGGAGCTGCTGGAGCAGTGCGCCGCGGTGCAGGGCCTGCGGAGGCGGACTGGCACCAACAACCCAGCCCAGTTCTCCCACTGCGTGTCCGAGAACGACATGTGTCCCCACGGATATGTCAACACTCTGGCCGTCACGCAGTCTTAATCAGCATGCATGTGCTGGATGCGGGCGTGGGACTGGAGCAGACACAGCGGGAAGCCTGCTGCTGTGGACCGGGGCCGGGAGGGGAGAGAAGGGGAGCGGGCAAACCACAGGGTCGCTTGTCAGCTTCCCGGATAAAAACATCCAGGCTGCAGGATTTCCACTAAAAAGAAGATACAGATAAACCAGCACAATGACAGCAGCACCGCGGATCTCTCATTTCTAGAGGCTGGAAACTGGATGTTCAAACAAATTCTCTCTCTCTCTTTTTTTTTTATCTCTTTCTTGCGAAGTCAGCAAACTTTTCTTCTCTTTCTGGATAACAGAAGTTACGGAGTCTTCTGATCTGTGTTGCTTTTTGAGGATTATGTCACATTACTGCTTGCCCTATACCAACACCTTGGACCTGAGGAACTTTCTGTAGAACTTTGAAATCGTTTTCTACAGAACATGTTTGGCTGATTTAGACTTTTGTCTCATATTTCCAACCTCTTATTTAGAACCAGTTCACACAGGTCACATTCAGATGAATCTGGTGCAAACAAAATAAATACATAAAATAATAATAATAATAATAATAATAACAACAACAATAATAACAATAATAATAATAATAATACAATAATAATAATAATAATAATAATAACAATAATAATAATAATAATAATAATAATAATAATAATAATAATAATAATAATAATAATAATAAGATGATGATGATGATCTTGTTGAGTTTTGTGTTCCGACTCCAGATGTCATGGACAGCAGTGTTTCCTGTTCCTGTGGCTTTGTGCTTGATTTGTCAGAACCAGAGTAGAATGTGTGTCTGTCGTTTAGTGACTCAGTGAGTGGACCTCTGTCTGCAGGTGTCACCCTGTCATGGCTGATGCTGCAGTGTTAGGGCAACGAGTTCAATCTGATGTGATGGTTCTGATAGGCCGCCTGCTCCATCCCCACTGAGCCGTTCAGAGTTCAGCTCAGATGAATGGATGCAATGTAAAGTGCCTGTCAGCGCATGAAGCTGGTAACCTGGGTTACCACAGGAGATTTACTAAATGGCACAAATGGAGCTTCTGGTGGTTGTGCCTTGAAAGTATTTCAATAAAACGCCAACTTCATGTTTTATCACTTTGGCTTAAAACACAGAGACTGTTCCTAGTATTAAAGCCAAAATGAACATGTTGCTGTACATGGTCAGGGTTTAACTTTCACCAGAAGGAGAAGATTAGATGGTAGGAAAAATGAAGAAGGTCAAATAGACATATTTGCACAATAAATACATGTATTCACTGTCATGGTGAATATGTTATATTCAATCAACAGAGATTTTTAAATGAAAGTGAGTTTATTAAAATAAACACTTATTTTGGCAGTCATAATGCAGGGCAGCACAAGCAGGAAGTTGGTCGCCTTCTGGCAAGAAGGTCTTGGGTTCAAATCCTCAGTTGGGGTCTTTCTGCATGGAAGTTTGAATGTTTTGCTCGCACATGTGTGGGTTCTCTCCTTTTATTCCAGCTTCCTCCTACAGTTCAAACACTTGACTGTTAATTGATCTCCACTGCCATTTGGTACAAGTGCGTGTGTGTGTGTGTTTTAGGGCTGTAACAAATCCTCGAATGATTCGAGTACCTCGATTATGAAAAAATTACCTGCCTCAAAGCTTCAATAAATTCTGTTTTATTATTTAGTGTTATTTGTGTCATGCAGCGCTCTTCAGTGCGGGCAACATAACCTCCAGTTTTCGGTTTTATTGAGAGAGAAAAAGGGAGAGAGAGGGAGACCCCAGCTTTTTTCTGATTACTTGATTAATCGTAACAATAATGGATAGAGCACTCAATTTCTAGAATATTCTTTTACAACAGCCCTAGAGTGAGTATCTCTGGATTGATGACACACTGCAGTCTCACCTAGTGACTGCTGGATCTGCCTGCATCTGTCTGTGACCCACAGACAGTGGATGGATATCAGGATTCCCAATCATAGAGCTTTTATTTGCACAGTGGAGTCTTGGGTTTCTGATTTAGCCATAATCAGCAAGCTGTCTTACCCTAACACTATATTTCACTCTTGTAGTACATTTGCTCTGTCGTGTAGTGAAAAATCAGGGAGGAGTAGTAATGTAAAGAGCTTAAATAGAAGGCAGTTAATCTGCACAGGTGGGCTTTGACACCAGCTTTAGGAAATAATGTGATTTTGAATGATAATTTGTCAAAAAAAAACCAAATAATATTGTTGGCATCTGATGCCCACAAAAGGGATTAAATACCTAAGATTCTCCATCAGTACAAAAAGACGTTTGCTGTCTTCAGGAGTGAAACAGACATCTATCTACCTGCCTTCTGTTCAGGCACTTTGACCTAAATATGTCAGAAGAACACATACTGTTGATAATGTGTGCTCTACCTGTCAGATGTTGCTTAGTGTCTTATTTTAAGTTGGAATGTTATGCCTTGTCCTGCTTGATGTGGCAGTTTGTGCAATATTTCACAAATAAAGATACATTTAATGCCTTTTGCTGAACCTAAACTTGTGGATAGCTGGTGCCTTGTGTGGATCCATGAAGGACCAATGAGGAGCTTTAACTCACAGCTTTAACTTTCGTTCTGTTGTGTTACAGAAATCGTATCTCGGTCCTGCCTGAGTGGCTCGCTGCACCTTAAAATGTCACAGTAGAGTAACCTGAGTGTGTGCCGTTCATGTCCACCTTTTTATTTTTATTTTTTTAGTTCTTCCTCCTTCTAGGTCATTAGAAGCAGATGAAACATTCTGGGTTTATTTATGGCAATAATAATTGCTGGTTATTGCCATGACAAGCAATTTTATTAATTTCCCAAATCTCGTTTTACTTACTGATCCACCTGAAACTCTGCTGGCCTTCTACATCAAAGTGCTATCCAGATGAAACCATAGTCATCCATTCACACACAGTGTGTGAACACATGTGGAGTCTAGTTAAAGTCACTTCTGGAATCCATCTATCCATCCATTAACTGAGGTCATTAAATGACACATCTGTCAAGGTCAAAGCCTGAAGCACACATTTTATGATAACTGAGACGAATGGCTTTATATGCTGGTGACAATAATTATTTCCGAATCATTGCTGCATTAAATGCACTTTATGATGTTTTCCACTGAACAGTGTTCAGCTTAGACTCAAACCTGAACCTCGCTCTGCTCTGATTTGGGTGACATATCCTAAAAGTGGTTCTGATGCAGTGACAGAACCAAACGCTGATTCTGGTTCATTTGGTCCCGTAATGCTTGGTTGAAGATTGAAGTATGCTGCTTGAGTTCAACACACCCTGCACTCATGGAGCAGGAAGCAGAGCCCTTCAGTAAGTTAGAATATTATTAAAACTTGGTTTATTTCAGTTCCCTGCGTCAGACTGCCGACCTGTCCAGGGTGACCACACCTCTCGCCCGGAACGTTAGCTGGAGAGTCACCAGCACCTCCCAACCCCACTAGGGATGAGGGTGTAAGAAAATGGATGGATGGATGGATGGATGGATGGATGGATGGATGGATGGATGGATGGATGGATGGATGGATGGATGGATGGATGGATGGATGGATGGATGGATGGATGGATGGATGGATGGATGGTTTATTTCAGGATTGCACTGGTGTTTTCCACCTCTTTGAATATGATAATAATGATAATCAAAACATGACATTTAAAATTTTTATTTTACATCATAGCAGTAAAAAAACATTTTATAATGCAAAAATGTGGGATTAAAGAATGAAAAGAACGTTTAATACCATCTAACGGTTATTTTCAAGATACTTTTAATCTGAAAAATGAATCTCCCCAGAAACCATATTCTCATTTATTGAATATGACTACATAGCCCAACACACTGTGCTGAGACACACCCCTTCCATTCTGTCATCACTCTGGCTATGACACTATGGCCCTTGATTGGGTGACACTATAGGAAGTAAAGAGCATCCCAGGTGGTGTGAATGTGTGAAACGTGTCAGTTGTTTACGTCATTCCAGATGTCTTTGTTCATTACCTTATTTGTCTTATTTGAAGGTTTATTCTCTTGGGTTTACTGTGTGTGTACTGCTTAATATGTAAATGATGTAATCTGAACTCTATGATTTTTATGGTTCTTTGAAGAAGGAATCTGAACTGGGACATAACGTTATGTATGTCCCAGAGAAAATCATTTGATTCAATTACTGACCAGATTGATATAAATAATATCATTCTGCTGTGCAGTATGACCTCTGCTATGTCTTCATAATTGTTGTCAATTGACCTGAAATAAACTCAGATGAATTGAATGAAGACATGAAGTCATAGTTCAGCCATGAGGAAGACACTCCAGAGCGAATGCTGGTTGGTTTCTGTGTTTCAGTATCTACATAATGTTATGTTCCAGTTCAGATTCCTTCATCAAAGAACCATAAAAATCACTATCTTCAGATTTCTGTTGATTTATGGTAAAACTTTTGTTCTAGAAGTTCTTTGAATGTATTTACAGGAATATTGATGGTCTGGCAGTGCTGAAAGATTTTTCTTTTTATGTTTCAACTCAATACTTACACATATGTTTTCACCTTCAGTGAAACATTTCAAACTGGAGGACAGTTTGACAAAATTCCTGTGGAGAATTGATTCTGTCATCTGCCCATCAGTCACTTTTGTATGCAGATTTTACATTGCATGTAAAAGCAAATTTATCTTAAATTCCCTGAATCCAGCAGCATGTAACCTTTACCCGAGATTAATATCAAAACCATCCAGCCAGAGTGCAGTGAAGCTGTGATCTGCATGTAGTGAAATCTTCTGACAGGGCCAAAACTATTTCTGGGTTTTCGAAGGAGCCCATCACAGAAAGAACAGATCCACACGAGTCCTGGAGTTAGAGCGCTCATTTCCTTTTCTTACATAAACCTTTATTTATATAGAAAAAAATATATCTTAAGACTCAAGGTCTCATTTACAAGAGAAATATGTTACATACATCACAAACATAAAAATAATAATACAATCTGCTAAACAGTGATAAAAATCAGTACTAAGTAAACTATTGATTTTTAGAATTGTTCTATATATAGTAATATATACATAGTATAGTATTGTTATACTATCATAATACCCAGATGTGTTGTATACTGTATCTGTAATTATCTAATCAATGTAGTTTAAGATGGAGTTTTATGTGGTTGGAGACTGAAATAAAAAGAAAACCTACCAGTCGTCTGTGTTTGCAACGTCTGTTTTCAACTGTATGCAGTCCAAACATACTGACAGAACAGAACCATGCAGAAACAGAATGGATCTCAGCTCAGCTGTTTGTTGAATTTCTTGTTCTGAGTTTCTCAACCTAAAATAGATTTCTTCGTTCTTATATCACATTAAGGCATTTTAATCATTCAGATGATTTCATCAGTATGCATACATAGGATCAGAATACTGGGGGGATTCATTACACAAGCAAACAGTGTCATGAGCAGGTACTGGGACTTTGGCACAGGGCAGAGTTAAATAAGAATGAAACCTAAAGTAAAAGATGCAACATTCTTGCTACTCAGTTCATGAAGA